CTACAGTCCAAAGACATGTGGTGTAGGTGAAATAAACTAGATTGGCCATAGTGTATGTGTATGAGTGAGTGTGTATGGATGTTTCCCAGTACTGGGTTGCAGCTGGAAGGGCATCCGCTGTGTAAAAAATATGCTGTATAAGTTAGCGGTTCATTCCACTATGGTGACCTCTAATTAATAAAGGGACTAAATTGAAAAACAAAGGAATGAATGAGTAAGTTAATCCCATAAATTGGCGAAGCATCATAAGCATAGGGAAAAGGTTGAACATTGAACATTAAAGTTTTTTGGGACAAACTTTTATATTGGTTTGAGAAAAGCAAGTTTAAACTTCGTGTGAAAACATTCATTCATCTTCTTTTCGGCTTAGTTCCTTTATTAAACTGGGGTCATCACAGCAGAATGAACCGCCAACTTATCCAGCATATGGTATACTTAGCAGATGCCCTTCCAGCTGCAACCCATCACTGGAAAACATCCATACACACACACATACACTATGGACAATTTAGCCTACCCAATTCACCTAGACCACATGAAACCAACGTAAACACGGGGACAACATTCAAACTCCACACACTAACTGACCCAGCCGGCGCTTGAACCAGCAACCTTCTTGCTCCAGCTGAGGCTCAAACCAGCAACCTCTTGCTGTAAGGCAAACATGCTACCCACCATGCAGCCAGTGCAAACATAAAAATGATAGTTTAGCATATTTCTAGCATGTTTTAGCTCTGTGTTACCACCTGACCAACAGTTCAGTATGTGGTTGTTTAATACAATGCTAGCATTTCAATTCATATTTCTAAACATTACATTATATATTTTTTTCATATAATGCACTCTTATCCAGAAATATAATGAAACTCGAAAGCTTTGCAGTGTTTTGTTTAAAGCTTTATAAGAGCCTTCATAAGCTTCTTATCATAATCAGAAATGTAATACTTGCATACTGTACACATTCAGAACACAACACGCAGGCTAAATTTACCATATAGAAATACAAATGAATAAAGTATATGTGCAGCTGAAGTCAAAGTTATTAGCTTGATAAAATTTGTATTATTTTCTAAATATTTCCAGAGTGCTGTTTATTAGAGACCAGATTTTTTAAACACCATATTGAAACCTAATTTTAAATAACTAATTTCTGATAACTAATTTTCTTGTCTTTGCCATGATGACAGTACATAATATTTTACTAGTTATTTTGCAAGATGGTAGAATTCAGCTGAAAGTGTCATTTAAAAGCTTAACTAAGTTAATTAGGCAACATAATAAGCCAATAAAAAAGTTTCTTAAGGGGTGAACATTATTTTTCATATTTAAAACTGCTTTTATTCCTGGCAAACTAAAACAAATACGACAGAACAAAAAAATATTGCTCCATTAAACATCATAAACAAAATATTTAAAAAATAATAAATATTTCATAGAAGGGCTTATAATTTTGGCATTCAGAGTATTCACATCAAATTTATTTTCCCTAGACATATAAAAAGATCTTCATAGAGTTTCCAGACCCATACTCTGCCGCTTGAGCTACAGTTTAACATGTTGACTAACAAAACTTGTGTCTGATTTGTGTTCAGAGACCGCACCACTACTGTGGTGAATGTGGAGGGTGATGCCCTCGGTGCTGGAATCCTTCACCACATCAATGAGCAAGAGATGAAGAAACAAAAGCATCAGCAGGAGCATCAGGAGGAGCAGGAGCTGCTGGAGGTCAAGGTGGAGGTGGTTGCTAACGTCAAAGCAGAAGAGGAAACCTCCCCACTCGTCACACACCAGAACCAAGAAGAAAACTCCTCACGCGAAACACTCAATGACAAGGACGGTGTGGAGTCTGTGCTGTAAACTGTCAACTGTGGTCTCTCATATCCTTCTCCTTCACTCTTTCTCTTTTACTTTTTAAAAAAACCACTAAAGACGTGATGTCGCTGTGAAGTTTACATCAAACATAAGGTTTACTCGAATCTGTGAATGGAACACTAATGGCCAGTCTGTTTTACATTTAGTTTGAAGTATTTTACAGTTATGATAATCTTATCCAATTGTGCCAAATCGTTGGTTTTTGTGTTTGGGAACATCCCAGATTATATGTAAAAGTCGAAAAGGGAATATTTCCAATTTGCAAGAAGATAACAATGGATAGTAATGAAAACCAGTCACCGACTGACCTCTTGATCTTTATTTTAACTGATTGTGTGAAACATTAACTATTTTTGAAGATGAGCCGAAAAGTATTTGCTGTAAATATTTATGTCCCTAATAGCAAATCCTGTTAAATTATGAAATAGTCTGTTGATTTATCGGGGACTGTTTAAAAAATGTGCATGTGTGCTCGTGAAGCAGATCCACAGCTTGTGCTCTATGCTTTTAATACAATCTAATTTTAAGTGAAGCTCAGAAATTAAGATAAATCTCAGGGTCACTGGTGATATTAAACCTGAGGATGTGAGACATGCTGTATGGTCAAACATTTCCTGAAAGACCTCAGTTCTCATTAACACAGACACACACACACACGCACAAACACGCACACATATGCTGTCGTTTGACCCAAGAACATCTCACATGGTACATAGTGACCCCTTGTGGTCAGTGGGATTATAATTGTTGAACATTTTGTACATCTTATGCCCAATTTTTGCGTTTGGTCATTAGTTATGAAGTAAACCATTTGATGGACGATTTGATACGTATGAATGAGTTTAATTTATTGTAATTGTTTAGCCTTTTGTACTGCATTGAAGATTATTTTTCGTAATCTGTTGCTAAAGATCCAGATGTATGTAAAAGATTTAGGTGAACTCTAAAAGCTGTTAATTAGCACTTGATTGGTTTTATATACATTTTCTCCATGTACTTTTTCAGTCTCTTTTAACTGTAAGTTATCTTGTTACCAATGTGTGTCTGCCTAATATTAAACCAAAAGCATTTGTGTCTCTGATTTACGAGAGTTTTATTGTTACATTGTGAGAACCACCAATGGGCTATATGCGCAGCTAATGTTTTTCAGCCAATGATGAACTTCCGGTGAAAAGTTTATGTGACTGTTTTCAGTTTCATAAGGTTCCTTTTACAGCATCGATGTTGTACTGTAATTCAAGCATTTATTTAGTTGTTAAAGTGTAAAAAGAGATGACAGACTGTTTAAACGCATGTGCCGTCATTAGCAACTAGCCAGAGCTGACATTTTTTTAAAATTTCTCGGGTAAAATTCATTTCCATAAATTTTAAAGACAAGGCACAGAAAAATATAATTTAATGCAGTGCTTCTTGTTTGGTCAGATACCCAATTTATACTTCCAGGAGACTTGGGATGTCTGTCTTTAACGCAGCAATTTTGTATGGGATGACAAGTAACCAGAAGCCCTAGGGCTGACTGAATTTAAATGTGTGTGTCCATATACCCCATTGTAGGCCTAACCTGTTACTGATTACAAAGTATATAATGAAATTCGTAGTCATTCACATAAACTTTATGATTAGTTTAAGTCATAGGTAGGCCCACACGGAATCTGCGCGTGCAGAAATCCGCAGATTTCCACAGTTTTTTAGTTTATCATTGAGTGTATTTATTTACTTGTGTCAAAGTGTGTAAATTTATATTTATTCAGTTTTTAAATGCATTTCAGTAACATTATTGTGATATAATAATAGTAATATCAAAATGTTCACATGATCTATTTACAATACAGTTTGTAAAATAACATTTTCTGTCTTTTCGTAGGTATATTATATGAGAAACTTGCTTTGTTTACCAAATAAGTGGATCTAACTGGATTTGCAATGTAAACATTAAATAAAAGTTAAAATGTATTATTTTTTATTTCATATATTAAGTTCTTAGTTATGATATTCCTAAAATCATTTAACATAAATCCGTAGGTTTTTTAAAAACAAAATTCTCAGCAGAAATAGCAAAAAATGTCTGCAGATTCTGTCTGGGCCTCATATGTCTCAAACTCTATTCATGGAGGGATGCAGCTCTCAGTCTACTTGAGACTATTAAGCAGGTGCGAGTTGGAGGTGGTTAAAGCTAAACTATGCAGAGCTACGGCCCTCCAGGAATTGAGTTTGACCATTAGGTAATTTATACTGCTTGCTTTTGGATTATTAATATTGTAAAAATAAAAGTATGAATGAAAAAGTAGTACTTTCTTTGTTACCAACAAAATGCCTTAAAAACCATATTGCCAGGGTTTGTACATGTAAATATTAAATTTGTAAATAATGTTGGAGGGTTTGTGATGAAAAGCTAGAATTCAATTATAAATGTACAAATGTAACTAAAATGAAAAAAATATTTCATTTCATTTGAAATAATTTGTTGCATGTTGGTGTGACCTGAGATTGGATCTTTTTCATTTTGATTTAACAAATCAAAACTACAAACTAATCATAAATTGTTTATACAAGAGGTTGAAGATTTCAGATAGATAGTAAAATATTGAGGAAACAGACTAGGCATATCACTGCATATCACACTTTAATCTGATTTTGACCATTTTAAAATCTAACATAATCTTATTATATGTACTTTCTGGATATGTAATCCAGATTACATGTAATCAGTTGATACCAGACAGAATAAAGTAACTAATAAAGTAACTAATTCCTCTGTGGGCCCTGTGGTGTGGGCGCTCCAGGGGGCGCTTAGTTCTCACTGGAGACATTTTAATCATTTAAATCTTTAAATTACATATACAATGTTATGTTACTTTTATCGCGTACTTTAATATCACATGTTTATAGCTATATACGTAAACTAAACCACATACATTTTCATGAAGTCTTTTAAAAGCCTATAATAATAATAGTAATAATCTCAAACGGTTGTGATTGGTCGGATTTGATCAGTGCTGAGAAAAGTAACAGGTATCACATGTCAATGTCTTGTTTCAGCAGTTGTCATTCTGTGGGTCATTTTAGAATATTAACAAAAAGAACTTTGATAAGAGTACCGCCGTGTGCTTCAAAAAATAATCTTTTATAAATAAATAAACCGGAGAAACCTTAGCTCGTCCAGTTTTATCTCGCTATTGGCTGTACGCTACAGTTTACGCTGCGTGACCCGCCTCCTGAACTGGTTCCTCCACCGCCTGGATTCCTCAACAGCAGTGTTTTTATTTATTTAGTGTATTCGTTTATCTGTTAAGCATTTGCACGTTGTTCGTTAAGGTATCGAAGGTCTTTCTTCGGTCAAAACGGTATGTAAAAGCAGTTTAATATCTATTACGCAGCAGTGAACGCTAAGTGAAAGTGATGTCGACAGAGGCGTGAAGCCGCTGTATGACTGCTTTACTGGTTGATAGACTAACGTTACCATAACAATAATTACACTGTGGACTGTTACGGAATGTTCCCAATTAATGTACGTTAACTGTTATTCAGTTATTAATGCGTGTAACTGTATTTGCATTCTATTTCTGTTCCAAGCAACCCAGTTTCAATTGTGGAAAGTTATTCTGTAGTTTGGTATAAATAGCAACCACAGGGATATTATTGCTTTCATTGGGTTAGTAACGTTAACGTAAAACTTTAAATGCACCGCATATGACATTGGTTACGACTTACTGGTTACGACTTACTGTAATTATGGCCCTGTTGAGCGTATCTTTTTGTTGTTTTTCATTGTTCAGCTATCGAATCACAAGTAAGTTATGTTTTGCAATTTCCGTATTTTATATTTGATTCGTTATAACAGTGTTTTCCATAAACAGTATCTCTGTATATAATATACAATCACTGTGTTTTCTCTTGCTAGTTGTTTGATGACCACGTTGCCAAGGTAACTGTCAATCAAGCCTATATGACTTTCTTTTTTCTGATTTGTGTGATATAGTGCCATAGTAACCCACAGGATCAGTCCTAGAACAAAATCTTGGTTGTAACAATTGTAACAGTCTGGTATGTGTCCACAAGTAAAGGGAAATAAAAGTAAAAGGAAGTCATGAAGCAGGTTCCGAGATTGTCTTTTGTTTGCAGGCAGGCTATGATTTAAATGTCCTCACGTGATCACCTCTCATGACATGCCATTTTCTGTCGGTAGCCATGGAAACCAGACGCATCAGCCAATCAAATAACTGTCCTGGTCTGGTATTCCACAGAGAAATAGTGGAAGCTGCTTTGTTTGCTCACTGTTGCATTCATTAGAGCTCATCTGACCCATAATCACACTCACAACAGTCACATTATTATTTTACAGCTTATTTTACACTAAGAATTATTGTTATTATTATTTAATTTAGATATAAATATATATGCATGTTTATTCATTCATTCATTTTCTTTTTGGCTTAGTCCCTATATTAATCAGGGATCACCACAGTGGAATGAACCACCAACTTATCCAGCATGTGTTTTACGCAGTGGATGCCCTTCCAGCTTCAACTCAACACCGGAAACACTCGTACACTCTTACATTCACACTCGTACACTACAGCCAATTTAGCTTATTCAATTCACCTACAGCACATGTCTTTGGACTGTGGGGGAAAACCGGAGCACCCGGAGGAAACCCACGTGAACACGAGAAGAACATGCAAACTCCACACAGAAACACCAACTGACCCAGCCGGGGCTTGAACCAGCGACCTTCTTGCTGTGAGGTTATTGTGCTACCCACTGCGCCACAGTGCTTTTTTTTTTTTTTTTTTTTTTTTTTTTTTTTTTTGACAAACATTACAATTTTGCAAACACTAGTCCAAATCAGGGGTTCCTAAACTTTTCAGCCTGTGACCTCCAAAATTACAATGTCAGTGACTCACGAACCCCAATATTCTCTGAGGTGGTTATAACTATATAAACCTTACACACCGGCGCACACAAAGGCCCAAGTCTATTCATCATTTAATTTCGGAGAATGCCACTCAGAGACCATCCTCCATGTTCGGTTGTGGCCTGTATTTAATTTTTGATGTACGTGAGTGCTGTAAAGGTGTCAGAAAGTTTAACCTGTTGCCATAAAATCAATGTGCTGTGTCTTTAATATAACATATTCATCCCAGAGGTCACAAAAAATTGAAAGGTGGATGGCTTTTTATTTCCATGTTGTTTTTTTAATGTTACTATTGTCTTTTTGTATTCTATTTCTGTGGGTTATGGATAAAATATGGTGATCCCAATAGTTGAACCTAATACCAAATATTAAACCTAATAATAAAAAATGATTTTTGGAAATCACAAAGCTACACGCCTCAATGTCCTGTATTCCCCACTTTGGGAGTCACTGGTCTAGATGATAGCCCCAAAATAAAAATGAATTCATACGGAAATTCTAGGTCTCGCAATTTTAAATTGAAACGCATAAACTTTATTATTTGACTAATATTTCAAAAGACATGATTAATTTAATTGAGAATCACATGAATCGTCAAATTAGTACTAGCATGAATTGCACTTAAAACTGTGACAACTGAAAACAAAAGAGTTGAGTAGTTTTCATCAATGGATATGATTGTCAATGATTCTCACACTGTTTCAATGATAAACTACTCTGGAGTTCACATTCTGGCTCTGTTAACTGAAACCCTGCCTACTTTCATTTGATTGGCCATCCCAATCATTTTAACATTGACAAGCACTGTTAGACCACTGCAGCAGGCCAGCTGTTAGAGAAAAAAGTGATAAATATATAAATTTTAGACATTTTTGTCATCTGAGTTTTAAATAATGGAGTTCATAAGGGCAATGTAAAAATGTCAAGCATTGTTGAAGAAAATGGAGTCACGGTGGCGCAGTGGGTAGCACGATCGCCCCACAGCAAGAAGGTCACTTGTTAAACCCTTGGCTGGGTCAGTTGGCATTTCTGTGTGGAGTTTGCATGTTTACTCTGTGTTTGCGTGAGTTTCCTCCGTGTGACCGTCCTCCAAAGACATGCGCTATAGGTCAATTAAATAAGCTAAATTGGCCATAGTGTATAAGTGTGAAGGAGTGTGCACGTATGTTTCCCAATGTTGAGTTGCGGCTGAAAGGGCATCCGCTGCATAAAACATATGCTAGATAAGTTGTCAGTTCATTCCGCTGTGGCGACCCCTGGTTAATAAAAGGACTAAGCCGAAGGAAAATGAATGAATGTTGGGGAAAAACTGCTCATTTTAACATCCGCTGGAGACAGAAGATCTTTTTCAATGTTTATGTTGGTTATAGCCCTGTTGTACATTTTTCAGATTAAACTTTTGTACTGCTTTTGCTTATCAGTGTTTAATACACAGTGTGGTTATGACTTCGTAGTTGTCACTGTGACCAAATGAGGAACCACAGAGTCCGGATGTGTTGCTGTGGCTTTTGGAGTTGACAAGGCCTTATCATACACCTCCTCACTGATGGAGAACAAGAACTATGAGAGATGGAAGTCCAGGATCCCGGAGTTCATCCGGAGTGGTCACTCTGGAACTCTCAGTTGCAGAACTGATGAGAGGACAAGGCCTGCAAAAGTCCAGGAGACCAAAGACTCAGACAAAGAGAGGAGTGGCTGCAAAAAGACAGTCACCTTGGCACCTGTTTCCAGGTATATGACGGATAAAAGCCTCTATACCATGAGAAAACCACTGATCTCTACACAATATCAGATGCCCATCCTGAAGAACTCCCTCACACATGAAGACTCAGAGAGGGTAAGAATCTAATGATGTTTTAATGAGTAGAGTTTACTTCCAGTTTGTAACAGTAACGAAAACAGGTTCAAATTTTCAGATTCACGAACAAACTTTTGTAAACAATTTTTTTTTAATTAAATCAGTCATTGAGATTTATGAATTTGTTTCAAACTTGCATGTGAAATCATTCAAACGATATTGTGATAGTGAAGACTGGAGTAACAACTGCTCAAAATCCATCATAGTCGTCATAGATAAAATTAAAAACATGAAAACAGTATTAAACTTTGACAATATTTCACAATAAATGCAACCTTGTTTTGTTCGAGTCTTCTTTCTTGTTTTCCAGGATTTCCTATTAACCATTTTCAACTTTTGTTGATTTACTCAGATCAGTTACAAAGCAGATACCTCTAAAGAAAAGGACAAAGGTCTACCCACGCAGCCATTCAGAAGTATTAAAGAAGTTTCTCCATGTTATAAATCCTCTCCACCATTATCAAAAGATGACCTTGATTCTTCCATGAACATGTCGGACCTCAAAGGGTGGTCATGTGACGAGGATACTATTTTTAACACTTCAGCTGACAAACGCAGTCTGTCCAGTCCGCCCTCTGCTTTTCTGAGCCTGACAGCACCTCTAGTGCCTAAGTGGACATCAAGTCCTAAAAGCACTTCTCGCATGTCCAATCATATGTCTCATTTGAAGACAAATGTAAGAACTAGAGCAGGTGAGATTATGGATAGAGGAAGAGATTCTCTTATTAACACCGGATCTTCTCAGTATTATAATAAGAATCATCCACATGGGTTCAAACACATGTCAGCTTACCAGACCAACTATTGGGCCTGTGCCATCCCCAGCTCCATGCCACCATCCCCAAACCGCAAATCCCCAAGCTGGGACCCTGACAAGGAATACCAAGAGCTCTTGGACTACACGTACCCTCTGAGACCCAACATGAACAGCACATGGAGATCATCAGCGGTGGATCATCACTTGAGAACCGATCCGCTGTTACAAGACTCAGGCATAGAGTTGGACCGCTTTTGCAGCTCTTCCAGCTTGTCTTGCTTAGATCTGTCCTATACAGGGACTCGGCGACGTAGCCCAAGAACAAGCCAAAAGCTTGAATTTCGACCTCTAAACCAATCACATTCAAAGTCCTCAGATGGCATCCTGTCCAGTAGTCTATACTCCTCAATTGACAAAGTTGGGTTGTCCTTTGAAAGCCTTGACTGTGATGCAAAGTCAAGGGGTCACTATCGCAAATGGGGTGTCTTTTCGACATATGGATCTGCCCCTACTTTTATTAGATCAACACGCATCCTTCCCCGTCCTTTTTTGCAGGATGATTTAGACGAAGAGTTTCTTCGCCTACCAGATCAGCTACAGGAACTTCAGGAGCTTTCACAGCAGCTGAGGGACATTAGTGACCACATGAGCCAACCGGTCATCACTAGCTGGGAATCTCTGGAGAGCGAGATGACCTCCGTCAGATCACCAACGGTTCAAGGAATGCAGGAACCATTGGTGGAAGAAAAGTGTGATGAAAATCCTAGATCCCAGAGAGAATCTGTTCCTGATGTTCCTCTCACACACCAGGACCATTTACTGAAAACAGAGGAACCTCCTACCAGTATCCAGATGATTAGCCAAGACTTGAATAGGAACAACTTGAGGGAAGTGGAAGCTATTATGGATCAGCTGAGGGGGTTGTCAGTATCTGAGCTTCAGGGGACAATGCAAACAGATGAAAATGAGACCAAAGAGTCACTAATGCAGCACATACAGGTGAGTAGAAGTTTACGATGTGCATTACAATGTTCTGAAACGGAGGGAAATGTTTGATAACTGTTAGATGCTTTCTCTATAGGCATTTTGCTCAAACCTAGAAGTGCTGATTCAGTGGCTGCACAAGGTGGTAGAGAAAGTAGAGCTTCTTTCTCCACCCACGGTTGATCTGGAGAGTGTTAAATCTTCCTTGGCTGATTACAAGGTTTGTAAACAACACCAATATTCCAATGTTACCATAGATTTTTATTTAAAGAAAACAATACTGTATGTTTGTTTAGCAAGGATGCAGTAAAATGATCAAAAGTGACAGTTAAGACGTGTAATTTTTAATTAAATGCTGTTTTTAATACTTTCCTTTAATAAAAGAATCCTGAAACTTAGTTTAAGGGTTTCCAACGAGCACCAAATCAGCATATTATATTGCTTTCTGATGAATCTTATTACTGCCTAGAAAATGAATGTGCAGGTAAAGCAGCTAAGGAAGCCCTACATTTGGAGATAACCCAATGTAAAATGTCTGTGTCTTATGTTAAACCTGCTTTGAATCTATATATTAATGATTAAATAATGATTAAAATATGATTTTAAAAATAGACACAGGGCGACACAGTGGCGCAGTAGGTTGTGCTTTCGCCTCACAGCAAGAAGGTCACTGGTTCGAGCCTTAGCTGGGTCAGTTGGCGTTTCTGTGGGGATTTTGCATGTTCTCCCTGTGTTCGCATGGGTTTCCTCTGAATGTTCCGGTTTCCCCCACAGTCCAAAAACTTGCGGTGTAGGTGAATTAGGTAGACTAAATTGTCCGTAGTGTATGAGTGTGTGTGGATGTTTTCCCAGAGATGGGTTGCGGCTGGAAGGGCATCCACTTTGTAAAAACATGCTGGATAAGTTGGTGGTTCATTCCGTTGTGGCGACCCCAGATTAATAAAGGGACTGAGCCGAAAAGAAAATTAATGAATGAAAATAGACACAACTTGACACAAGTGGCGTAGTGGTTAGTGTGTCGACACATGGCACTCCACTCAAGTCTTACACACTCATATTTATTGAAAGGGGAAGAAAAACCTATTTGTGACTTGTGTATGAATATCTTGACGATAAAACATTTTAATAGATTATGTATTTTTAAATGAAATTAGAGAATGTTTTTATTCAGGAATTCAAGATTTTAAAGAAAATTCTGGAGGAATTTCAGAATATTTATCATTAATCAAATGGTTATTTAATGTTTAGATTGTTAATGACTCTTTTCAGTGTTGTTGTTATTTGTATGTTTTTTGTACAATGAATGTTTATTAGGAAACTGATATGATTGCATGTTATACATTTTATATAGGTTTTGTCATGAATACAGCCAATGCTGCTCAGATGGCATTAAAAAAAATCGAAATAAATAAATATTACAGTCAAGACTGGACTAATGATTGCTGAAATTGTGGCTTTACCATTACAAGTATAATTTACATTTTTAAATGTGATAAATGCCATGTTAATATGTAGTAATATTTAACATTTTTATGGTTAATTTAATGACTATATTAATATACTTTATCAAATGATTAGTGTTGGTGAGTATAAAATACCTTTTCTTTTTCTTACTAACCCAAGCTTTTGAAAAGCTGTGTACATTCAACCCTTGTAACAATGTTAGTTTTATGAACTTTATTTCACATGAAGAAAATATATAAAAGGTTTGTAATATTTTTCAGGATTTTCAGGAGGAAGTTCAAGCTCATAAGCCCCTCACAACAGATGTCCTGCAGACTGGAGAGATGCTTTTGCATTGCATGAATTCAGCCTCTCCATGTAAGTCTTATTAAAGTAAAATAAAGTAAGAACATTTTTAAAGGGCTCATGAACTACTACAACATTCTTTACATCAATACAACTCTACATTCATATCAAGTATACATCTTTTATTTTCAGTCTCTCCAAAGAGCCTGCATAACACTGCGTCTTGTTAAATAATTAATTTGGGGGAAATAAAGTGAACACCCTTTTCTCATGTGACAATGAATCCAGAAGGTGACAGTACCCTGATTGTAAACTGATTGCTGTTTTGTTTTGGACATGTGGGTGAGGATAAAGAGACAATTATCACATATATATTACATTAACTTTTTTGATCTCTAGCCACTGTGGCTTGTAGATTTCCAACATTGCTAGCCACACACAATTTTCGCTAACTAATTTTGATGTTGGGAAAATATTTTTTATGCATACATTTTGAATTTATTATGACTTGATTTAGATCTTGTGTCCACATGCCTCTTCATTCAGTTAACTTTTTGTGTTGTGTATGATCTTGCTCAGTGAGCAAGAGCAAATGGGTTGATCTTTCATAGTGTTGCTATTAAATTTAATTTCACATGACTTTTCAGGACTCCAATATTAAGTATTTACCAAATTTTTCTTTGACCACACCAAAAATAAATAGATAATCATTTCTTAGCCATAAATTTCAAATTATGTGTCAAAATAAGCAAAATATAGTTATATACATGCCATTTTTATTCAGCAAAACATTTCTTAAAACAAAACCAAAAAATGTATTGTGATGTATCTAAAAGTATGCACATTCTATGTGCTGGCTAAAGGTCTTATATCACCAGTTAACTACACATAAATGAGGAGTTAATCTCATATTAAAGCAATGTTATTGTAAACAATGATAATCAAACCATATTAACAAAAATAACTGTAAGCAAAAGAAAGCAGGTGAAAAACATACAGTGTGTGATAATTGAAGGATGATTACGGGCACATGGTTAACGTCAGGCCTGTTAATAATCTGTTCAAATAATGGTGAAAGTGAAAGCAGTAATCGATGCTGCTTAAACAAAATCTGGAGCTGTTGAAAGCAGCAGGACTGTGGGTACACAAGCATCACTTTTTTCCAGTCTATTTTGAAGAAAAGCGTTTGCTCTAGTTGCCTTTTCAGGCATGGTTTCTTTGCACAAAGGAACAGGAGTGTGCACGCTTTTTAAACAGTCGCGCGCATCACATTACCTGTGCGAGTGATCATCCTTTCATTAGGTTTTCATCTGCTTTCTTTTGCTCATGCGAACACAATTATTTTTTCCTGTCCTGCTGCTTCTCGATTCTAAGATCACATTTGCATGCATATTAGGCCATCCTTATTGTCCCTGCTTTAAAAAAATACAATTTAAAAATTATTTCCAACCAGCCAAAGTGGCTAGTGGGGGTGTCTGTCTAACCTTCCACAGCTGAAATTCACCGGAAGTTGACGAGTTGGTGGGCGTTAATGTCAAGCCCTGGCAATGATGTAGAAGTGGGAGTTGATATTCTTTTGCATGGGGGTGGCTTCATCAAACTATTACATCATACTTGGGCAAAATCAGAAATGTTGTTTTAGCTGCTTGGTTTAGACAAATGAAGAAACGTTAAAGGTTTTTGTAATAAAAGAGAATCAAATTTGCTGTTTTGAATGTAGAATGAGCGCAACAGCATTGAACTGAAGTGAAAAGACAGCTGCATTTTGTTTCTTAGCCCTAAATAGGGGCTCAAAAAAAAAAAAAGTCAAATAAAATAATAAATTAGATGAAATATTACAATTGTTTATATCCTGTAAAGTATTCCCTCTCTGTTTTTTGATCAGTTTGTATACTTGCACAAGCGTCTACAGCCATTTAGTTTTGGACATGTTGTTGTTCACTGTAACCCAATACTCGGATTCACTTTGGACAGAAACAGGAAACGCTCTGCTTGGAGAACTCGGCCATGCATGCATGAATTAGAGAGCCGTGCTGTTACCTAGCATGCTCCATTTCTGCATTCACATGATTGGTTTTGTCAACACATCAGTAGTCTTTTGGTTTTTTCACGCTGCTGCTAATGTAATTTTCTATTTTGATTCCTCAGTTCTAAAAGACACACTGATGCTGATTGAGCGCCAGTCTCACACACTGGAAATCCACTCTGAGTATCTTTTCTCCTCTATTCTGTCAGCCATGGACTCCCTCACTGATCCCACATCTGAGGAATCTTCAGGTAAATAATCTGCTGTTATTTATAGCGCCCTCTAGTGTCAGCTCTTGGGTATAAATCTAGAAATAAATGGAAATTGTGCTGAAGTAATGACCACGTAGTAGTTTACATCACACTCACATGTAAGAACCCAGCAGGATTTTTTTCCCATTGTTTTGAATTTCGACACATTTTGATCATCATTATATTGTTCTCAAAAGAACACGGCATTAAGCAGAAGAGTTTACATTTGCTATTAGGGTGTGTTTGGTCAGTCAGATCACTGACCAAAGTAGATTAAGGAGACACATTTATGTTTACACCTGTTTATTCTACTTCTACTGTAGAATACTTCTACTGTTTATGTACTTATTTCTTCTTTAATTTATGTTGTCCACTTGTGATTGGATCAGCAAAAAATATAAACACAGGGTTCCCACATGTCCTGGAAAATCTGGGGTCCGTTTCAGAAAGCAGGTTAAGTGAAAACTTTGAGTATGCCATACACACTCTGTTATCATTGCATCCTGTTAATGTACAATAACGAGGTGCAAATATAGTATGTATTGTATCTGCCAGTGTAAGTATAACTTACATCTAATTAATACTTGCACTTGCTGAAAAGGACTGCATGCTATAGGGGAATTATACCAACTTACATCACACGGGTTCAACCACGCATATCGGTTGCAAAAAAAGACCGGTTGCAATACCAAACATGTAATGTTGTGCGGTAGGATGCCAAAATCGAAAGCTTAAATTAAAAAAAAAAAAGCTTAAATTTTACTGTACACCACATGGCTTTTAATGCCAACCGCAGACGTCTTTGGCTAACAGCCATCAGAAGAGCTGAATGGAGTGAGGACCCAATTAGAAATGCTGGACTCTGCAGTTCTTATTTTATATCAGGTAAGTTCACGCTATGCTAGATCATACACATTACTCGTTTTTGATTGCAGCAATGATTTCAGCAAAAACTGTTAAATATGGTGAATTAAACTGCGGACACTAAATGCTTAGAGTGAAATGTAAAAATCTAAGTTCACATACCCTGCCGTACAGGAGCAGTTCTCTGTCAGAATGCAGTTGTTTTGCTTGTTGATGATTACCCAGGCCTTGTACAGTTCAGTTTTTTTTCCTTGTCTTTGGCTTGGCAGAACCTCGGTTTTTAGCACTACAAAGTTTTGCATCTGGGTCTTCATGGAAAATAATTTCTTGCACATGACCACACAGAACAAAATTGTAGGCATCCAAAGACTTGTAGGCCTTTAACTTCTCTCCTGTAAAATCACCAGATACATGATAGTTGTATATATTTCGGGCTAGACGTGCTTAGGAGGGTGCTATTGCAAATGGACCTGTCACTTATGCCGCTCACTTTAATGTTAATTTTGCTGAATAACTGTGCTTATCACTATTTGACAATGCTGAAAGCATTATTTAAATAATTAATATAATATGTAATTAATATAGCTTATCTCTAATACAAAAACAAACTCTGTACTGCATTGGATGTCATTCCCCTTGCTATAAATGCTAGCGCTCCCATTTCTTTTCTTCCTCCTTGATGTGCACACATTCTGAATGTATACAAACCGGTAATTCGCCAATAGAACACAGTTGAATTCAGAATTATTAGCCCCACCATTATTTATTTTTTCTTTTTTTCCCAAATGATGTTCAACAGAGCAAGGGAATTTTCACAGTATGTCTGATAATATTTTTTCTTCAGGAGAAAGTCTTACTTGTTGTATTTCGGCCAGAATAAAAGCAGTTTTTAGTTTTTTTAAACCATTTTAAGGTCATTTTATTAGCCCCTTGACCATTCATAAGGTCAGATTATTACCCCTTTTAAACTACATATATTTTCGATAGTCTACAGAACAAACCATCGTTATACAATAACTTGCCTAAATTACCCTAACCTGCCTAGGTTACCTAATTAACCTAGTTAAGCCTTTAAATGTCACTTTAAGCTGTATAGTAGTGTCTTGAAAAATATCTAGTAAAATATTATGTACTGTCATCATAGCAAATATAAAATAGTTAATAATAAATCAGTTATTAGAAATGAGTTATTAAAACTATTATGCTTAGAAATGTGTTAAAAAAATTCGTCACTTTGTTAAACAGAAATTGGGGGAAAAATTGTTGGCAGGTCATTTGCAAAAGAAAAAAACACTTACATTTTTATTTTATATTTTTGCCCATGGGATACTGAAGTAAATCGTTCAATAACCATTCTGCCAGTTTTCTTCTCCAATATTATATCAGATTTAGAATTAAACTGATCTCATATGCAGACATCCTATTGCCGGTTGCCTTTGCCATGTTAAATAATAATACCAAAGCTCCGCTGATCATGTCTTTTCATAGTGTTGTAAAAAAAAAAAAAAATGAGTGAAAAGAAGAGAAGAACCCAGTCCAGGAGACTCGAAACAAGCAGAATTCCTTTATTGAGACGTGTTGGTTAATCTGCAGTCAAACAGCGTCTTCAAGATGTCTATGTGTCTGCAAGAGCCTACTAGAGGTCCGCAGTCTGCAAGTTCTTTCACAAGTCTCTCACAAGTCTCACACAAGTCTGCAAATAGTCTGAATTAAGACAAAGATTTCATGGCTATATTGTGTTCTTAGGAGGAGGGGATATGGCTAAACAAAGCATGCAAATTAAGGGTTGTGGTCAGCAGGGTAAACTGCTTCTCAGGTCTAATCTCATCATGTTCTGGAGACAGAAACCGCCTGACCATTTGATCGAAAAGAGAAAACAATAGACACCCCATGTTGTGAAACTGATAATTGCATCACTTTGGCTTAGCCTGTAGTCAGCAAGGCAAAAGTTAAATGACCCTCCTAGCTGGCATGTCAATGAAATAAAATAATTAAAAACCAGAGAATATAACTTTTTAGTTATACGTAGATTATTGTTAATTTGAAATTAGATGATAAAAATTTATATTTCCACAATAGTCATGGTGTTAGTGCTGAAATCAGAGTTGACTTATCTAAAAATACTAAAAACTCAGTGTTTCATATCTCAGTGATCAAGTTTAAACTTAAAGTTGGCAGAACCTCCTTATTGAAACGGACCCTTTGAAATGAAGAGGGTTGTTTTCCAGTCATTTCAATTCAACTCATCTTTATTTCTATAGCGCTTTTACAATGTAGATTGTGTCAAAGCAGCTTAACATTGAAGATTTTAGTAGATTGAAACTGTGTTCAGACAGCCATGAGGAACAAACTACACCAATTGACGAAAGTGAAGAAAAAAAAAAAAAAAAACTTTAAGAGAAACCAGGCTCAGTTGGTCATGGAAATGACCTGAAAATTGGTAGAAAAGGTCAAATGTCTTTGAAAATACAGAAAACAACAGAGTGAGGATTATTTCAAGTTGTAATTTTTCAGTTTGTAACAACTTAAGCAGAAACTTTGAAGGAAAATGAACTTTTCTGACATACTGTGGCTGCAGCAGGTGCATTGATATTACACAGATTCTAATTAGTGTAGGCCTTAGTGTTGGGACTATTTTCAGGTGCTGCGTAATATCATTGCGCCTGCTACTGGCATTTTATAGCTGCAAAGTTCATTGGTTATTATGCCAGAATGCGCATATAGTTTCATTTCACCTTTTCATTTGCTGTCAGTGTTAGAACACAATGTAACTACAGAAGAGTTAAGCTTTAAACATGAAAATTATTGAAAATCTTTGGGTGAGATGCCATTGGTCTAATCCGATTTAATAATCTATACTAAGCTAAGCTAAAACTAGTTCCACCAAACCACAATTTTGCCCCAAAACAACGTCATCCCTTTATCACCTTATTGGAATCACTAAAAAGTAGCATAGGAACGATGTTGTTTTCAACCTAGCTGAATAATTCACACGGGCTCCCTCAAGATTTTCCTACAGGCTTTTCCAATGGCTTATTTAAATGTATGCCTATTATAATGTGGAACTTTAATACTTTACTCTAAATTAAACACTGATATCAAAAAAACACATTTGACGCTGTTTATGTGTATTTAACAAAAAACAAAAAAAACTGTTTCTAATAAGCCTATAGATAAGATAACTGTTAATGTGTATTTAACAAAACAAAAAAAAAGTTGTTTCTAATAAGCCTCTAGATAAGGTAATTCGGTGTGTGAGTCTGTGGAGTTTATATTGTACAATAAAACTTTTTAAACTGTTTAAAACAACGTATTGTGGATTTCTGATGAACACAGACCTTATTTGATAAACCCATCATAATGGGAAAATATTGAGGGAACCAATTGGTATTACACTTTCTGGCTTTGTTCTGTATCTTTGCTCACATATATGCCCTCGACTGATTCTATTATTAAAAATGCCATATCATGCTTTTCTGGCTTTTTCTCCACAGAAGTGATTTCCTGAGAATTACCAGGATTCTGGAAATGTGAAGGCCTGGTCCACTTACTGTCCTCACTACTTGACTCGCACAGCAGTTATCTTTGTTTTATACAGTTATCACGTTTACTGTCCAGAAGTGGTGTTTTTTGCTAATCACAAGCTTGTGTTATCTGTCGCAACATATTTTCACTTTACACTTTGAATACGAGCTTGTGAGTTGTGATTGTTTAACATTTTATAATACATATTTGTGTCGCATCTTCAAAATTGTCCTGAGATTATCTAATTTATTAATACTGTTCAGCTCTGCAGAAGAGGTGCACAGACATGGTGCCAATCGTGAGTGTGATCTCAGGTTATTAGCCATTAAGTTTTAATGGAGGCCAGTGCAGCCTTCATTAGCATCTCTGCGGCTTTAGTTTCCCTTCTGTGCCTCAAACATATATTGTATTTTCCGACTGATGAACAGCGGGATTGTTTTCTTAGCTGAATATACTGTACAGGTTATTTATCAGATGAGTGTTCATTATATCTCTATGTCCTATTGTGGTAAAGAGAAATTTCATCCAAAACTTTAATTCCTGTCATCATTTACTTGCTTTTATTATGATTTTCTTCTCTTCGCACCAAAGAACAGATTTTGAAAAATTTCTGGCAACCAAGTCAAAGGTTACCAACATTTTTCAGTTTCTGTTTTTATTCAAAAGTAACAGAAATAATGCATGTTTAAAATATTAGAGGATAAATAAATGTTGACATACATTTAAGGCTGAACTATCTCTTTGGTTTGAAAAATAAAACTCTACAATACTGAAATAAGTTCTACTGCATCGTTATAAATGCTGGGTTCTACACAAAACTTTCATGCTGTCCCAACATAAATCAATTAAGTTAATCGTTTTTACAAATTTAAGTGGATTAAACATAAAACTATTAAAGTTGCCCCAAAAGAAATGTAAGAATTGTGTTTTTTCAACTCATTTTAAATAAGTATCTTCAGATCACGCAGCAAAATGGTGTTTTTTTTCCCAATGTTTTGTTATATTTTTATTTACAAACATTTATAGACTTCTGATTCAAGATTAACTTACTTTGAAAGTCAACAAGTTGATACATATTTAAATTTATTTGCATATTCTATTGACATTTGTAATTGTTTTAAATGTAAAATTAAATTAACATTCTCAATGAAATTTTTTCAAAAAACCAAACTTCATTTTTCATCTCAAATGAATCTTAAATTAATGATGTTTAGATATTTGTATTGACATTTTTAAATAGTTTGCAATCAACTTTTAATGCTAGATTCAAAACTTTCAACTATTTCTACTTCACCTTATATGGCCCTAAATTGTGAAATGCCAAATTAAAGGGGCATTTACTATTTACTATACTATATTTACTAAGTAAATTTTGCCAACAATGTTGAAAATTGAAAGTACCAAAACATACATCCACAACCCAACACGATCTTGCCCATTTTTTTTAAACACTGCTATAGTTAGACACGCCCCTTACTGCTGATTGGCTGCAACTATGTTTGAAACTGCATACCATCTGTACATCTTTACTTTTGACAAAGTAAAAACTGAAATATACTCAATGCAAGTCATTTAAGCTGGATGAATTCGACATCAATTGAACAAAAACCTTGAGGCAGAAAACCTTGAGGCAGAATGTTTTGGAGACGTTAAGCTGCAGAGATCATGTCAACATGCACAGACTGATGCGTAACTGTTTTTGCATTGACAAGAATGTCCTTTTTAACAATAAACTTCTTTTTGATACTTAATAAAAACATTGTTTCGTTTATATTTTGTTTAGGTATCAATAAGGATAATTAGTAATTTTGCATTTCAAGAATTTCCAAGTAGGTATCGCTGCAGCCCGGAGACCTCCAAGTGGGAGGGACTTAAACCACAAGTAGGTTGGGTTTAGGTCAGGGGTGTCCAAACTTGGTCCCGGAGGGCCGGTGTCCGGCTGAGTTTAGCTCTAACTTGCTTCGACACACCTGTTTGGAAGTTTTTAGTATATCTAGTAAAAGCTTGATTAACTGGTTCAGCTGTGTTTGATTAGGGTTGGAGCTGAACTCTCCAGGATACCGGCCCTCCAGGATCGAGTTTGGACTCCCCTGCTTTAGGTGGAGCAGATATTAATAAAACACATCAGGTTACTGTGAGGTTAGGTTTAGGATTGGGGTAGGTGTAGACGTTAATAAAACACAACTGATTACTGTGAGGTTGGGGTAGGTGTAGACCAGGAAAGTAAAATTCCATTGCTGGAGGGCCACTGCCCAGCACAGTTTAGTTCCAACCCTAATTAAACACACCTGATCAAACTTATTGACTCCTTCAGGCTTTGAAACCTACAGGGAAAGCTACGGTCACACTTGACTTTTCTCCCCATAGACTTCCATTCATACGCACACGAATGTGCCAGACCAGAAACGCAGGGTCATTCGTTAAGTTTCGCAGTTCGCTGCGGTGCAAAGTTCAAGCTCTGACCTGCAAAATTCCATCACTTGACTGCGTGAGACCTATCGAGGATCAAAACATGACCTCTCTGGACAGAAATTTAAAACATGGAGCAATCGCTCGCTTTTTTAATGTTTAATCTCGTTTAATCCCGCCCCTTTTCGCAGCGTCGTACGGCAGATTTTCGCACACACAAACTCTAGTGTGACCGCAGCTCAAGTGTGTTGGAGCAGGGTTAGAACTAAACTGCGCAGGGCTGCGGCCCTCCAGGAATTGAGTTTGACATCCCTGGTGTAGACATTCATAAAGCACAATAGTGGACTCTGTGTCATGTACAAGACATTAAATAAATAAAACTCCAGGTTTGTACAGCTCACTTGGAGTTGAAGTCCCATCCACTTGGAGCTTGCTCAGACCTTCATTTATACCCTTTTTAGAATTTTAAGCATGCACAGTTACCAAAATTACCATTCATGCAAACTGAATCAGTGTAAAAATAGGCCTCTATATTACTACATGTTATGAGATTTAATTTATTTTCAGATTTAAATCAGTTAATTCAGAGAGTGGATCAAAATATATTCATTCATCTAGATCCACAAACCCTACATTGTTGACTACACGGAATCGAAGAGTAAAAAAGATATTCAATGAACTATTATGAGATTTATTTTCGTTTTATAAAGTTAATTCGTAGGGTGGATCAAAATATAATTTACAATTACAAGATTCAGCATTGCTATTGCTGACTACAGGTCAAACAAATTTAAATATATGGCTAAATCTGGAATTTACAGTACAAACAGCCCTTTTTAGTTAACTGTAATGAAACTGAATTAAATTTGGAATTAAAATGACTAAAAATTATCAAACTAAATAAACAATTCAGAAAATGACTAACTTAGAATAAATCTGAAACGGAATAAGTAATCTAAAGAACAAAATGAACTAGACATGAAGAGTTTTCAAGTTCATTTAAAAAATGAATTCATTTGCCTTTATTATGAAAAAGAGAACATAGTGTTTGAGTCACATATGAGATTGTGAAACTGTTGCTTTTGATGTACTCCGCAGGTAAATGGCCAAAAATCGAGAGATTGCAAGATTAATGGAACAATAGATATTTGCATATAAATGTTGAATAAATAAAACACAAAGGGTTTTCTACATGTCCCACCAAGAATTGCAGACATACTGCTATCGTACAGTACGCTCGTACAATATTTATTTAGATTTCTGTTAACTGTTACACATCGCGCAACAAAACTACAAGAGTCTGCAGCCAAAACTTAAATGCAAAAGAAGGTAAAATTACTCCAATCGTGTATTTAACTCTACAGAGCCGTCATTTCCAATCTTACATATATATACATAGTGTATATGTACATATATTTCACTAAACAGATGTCGGACTGAAAATACACTGCTGCTCGGATGAACCGCAACAGACAACCCGCAGGTACAGGAACCTACACATGCAAATATAAACAGTAAAATAAATCGACAAGTAAGAATAAAGTAAGAAAAGGACAGAAAAAAACAAAACGTCATTGAATTGACCACAGACCAGCCCTGCAGTAGGAATGCAGTGAGATAAACACACACATTATTCTTGGAAACCTGCACACAGAGGACTTAAAATTGTTGAGTGACAATGAAATCCATCCTTAAAAGCAGCCCCTGACAAACAGTAGGGGTTAATGGAACCGAGTAACCAAATTTTGGACCTCTCTTCAGTTTGTTTGTGAACTATTTTTGTAGGGGGAGGGGGCAGATTCTTGAAAGTTTTTTTTGTTTTTTTGGTAGTGCGGCTACATACAGTACAACTTGGGTAACTTAAACTGTTGCCGGTTTCACGCTCTCTTTTATTCTTTCTATTCTCCATATTGACTCTTTGCTCCTTAACGAATGATCTATTCCCCTTTCTTTCTCCTATTTTGAGGGCTGTTGCTCTGAGATCCGGGGGCCGAGGTGATGGGGGGTGTCCGGGGCAGACAGGGTCTCAGCAGCAGCCTCCAGACGCAGGCTTCACTGGAGTGCTTTCGATCTTCATGGTTTTTTCAGAGCCGCCGGCTGTGGCTCCAGGGCCCATCCTCTTCTTGATCTCGGCAGCCATGGTCATGAAGGCCTGCTCCACATTTGTGGCGTTCTTAGCGCTAGTTTCCAAGAAAGGAATGCCAAGGGAATCTGCAAATTCCTTTTAAGAAAAAAGAAAGGATCAAACCAAAGCAGTTATTATTTTTAGAACAATGGAAAATGTACATGGAGGCTTTGTTTCAAAACCTAGTGAGAATCCAATCTAGACAGTAATGAAAGACGCAGCAGACAAGGCATGCAGATTTTATCATGGTTTATAATATTATCACGATACTGATCTAGGCTGCAAAAAGAAAAAAGATGACTTTAACAGTAAAAAAAAACAAAAATACTTAATGTATTGCTTTATTGTCTATACATGTCCAGCGTAAATAAATGTTTAAAATTAAACTGCAAAGTACGTTAGAGTAGTCATTATAATCAAGTCTTAATAGCATTGTTTCCATCCACCTATTTGTATGCGCATTTTGGACATACGCATTAAAAAATGTTTGATGGATTCATTTTTTTTTTTACTTTACCCTTTTTTTAATTTATGCTTTTCTTTATTAATTCCATTATGGGACCTTGATCTTTCCCCCAACAACTTTTAACCTTGAAAAATTCAAAATGGTGACTTTTATTAACATTTTTAATAGTTTAAAGTTATATGTTGTCTGGGTATATTACAGATAAAAACTGTTATTTTACAGAATATTTCTCTTTATATTATTTATTGAACATTCAATTATTTCAAACTACTAAAATGTCAGAAAGTCAAAAATCAACAGAGCAGAGAACAATGTCCCATAATGCAATTCACAACAGTAAAAAATAAACAGAAAACACCTGTGAATCACAAAATATGGACATTTTTGTACGAAAATTGAAGCATAAAACAAAAAAACCTAAGGTATCAATTTCAGTCGGACAGGTACGAGGTCTCATTTTAGTTTGAAGGCAGCAGAGAATAGATGCAGTTTTACAGTAAGGGAGCTCGCTAGGTTTTGGAACAGAGTATGTACGGTGTAACGTGGTCTACAGTGGTACCTTTGCCGTTGTGTAGTCCACCACTTTTTTTGTTGTTAAGTCACACTTGTTGCCAACCAATAACTTGTTGACATTTTCACTGGCGTAGCGGTCAATCTCCTGTAGCCACTGTTTTACATTATTGAAAGATTCCTGAAAGTAGAGGAAAATACACAAAGCATTAATACAGTAAAAATAAATTAAGGCATTTAAACAGTGGTTTAAAGTGATACCAGGATACTTTGCTCATTAGCTCACCTGATCTGTAACATCATAGACTACAATAATTCCATGTGCTCCTCTGTAGTAGCTGGATGTGATTGTGCGAAACCTCTCCTGCCCTGCTGTATCCCACTGTAAATCAGAGTGAATAATATGATACCTGGATCAAATGCTAAAATATGCTTACAAAATACTAGTTCTGCTACTATAATATAATAATAAGGCAAAGAACTGACAGATCGATTTCTTTCGTATAAATAATTCTGCACACACAAACACAAAGAGAGTTTGGAATATATTCCCATATCAACTTCTCTGGTTATGCGACAGCAAAAATAGATTTTTATAAATATCACATTTTATAATAGTTTTTATGACAATAAAAAGAAAATCCTCAGCAATAAATGAAGGGTTTCTGTAGGTTTTATCAAGTTAAATTTAAGACTTTTCAAGACCATTATGAACTAAATTTTAGACTTATACAGGGCTAAATGCTAAGGATTTTGTTTTTCAAATATCCCAGTTAGACAAGATTTACACTTGCCCTATCAAAAAATGCTTATACTATAATAAATTTAAAAATAAAACAATAATAATTCTGTTTTTTCAATACTCATTTTTGAATACTTTTTATTAATTTTCAAATATATCCATTCACAAACCCTATAACCATTACCTAGAACGAAATATAGCTCCCAATTACTTCAGTCTACAAAAATAATCAAATTAACAGGAAAATTAAGACCAATAGAAAAAAAGATTTACAGAAAACATTTCAGTAGATTTAAGAATTTCTTAGACCTAATATTTAGCTTTTGAGATTTAAGACACAATTAGGGAGTCCCATAATTGGTACACCCCTATAATGTTTAAGATTAAACACTAATGAAAACTGAGTTGCTTAAGTATTGAAATGGCATACAAGTATGACATTTGACTGAGCAGCAAATATGTTACATTAAAGAGCACCAAATTTATCTTTTGCATAAAAATGATTACAGGTTGTATAAA